ATACAACTTGGAAGCAGGACTTTAAAACAAATAGTCTGCCTTTCCTCTCGTTCCCAGCTCTCCAGTGTGGAAAAGTGAAGCGATGAAGGACCAGACAGAATGGAATGTATGTGGTTCTGAGCTCAGCCCAAAGGCCCTCCTCCACATAAAGGTTCACTTCCTCCGGGCTGAAGGTGCTGGGAGGGAGGGTGTCTCAGGCCAGGCTGTCAATCCCTGTCTCCCTGACCAAATCCCTCCTAACCACTCTCTCACGCTGCTCCAGGCAGGGCTTACCTACTCTCAGCGCCCCTCGCCTGGTCTACCAGCTTGGCTTCTCTTCTGACACTTAGGATGCCACAATGCCCTGATAACGTGAGGGCAGAGACTGGAGCCCCGGGCACTGTATGGCCCTAGAGCCCAGGATGAACACTAGGATTTTGCTTTCCAAGTACAAGTTGAACAAATAATTTTCTCTTCTAATTTCATCAGTTTTATATCCAGACACTAAGATTTCCAGTCACAAAGCCAACGCCAATCTACCCTCCCAGGGTACCCTCCCAGGGAGGGTAGATTCATCACCCATTTTCCAGGATGGCGAATGCTTTTTTTCTAACAAAATAGTGTGGCAATTTTCTGAAAGAGGGAAGCAAAGTACTTGAGAAAGGAACATTTTGTTTTTCCCGTTGGCAGAACGATTCTATATGGGCTAGGAAAGGATCTATATACACAGAGGTTTTAATGGGCCCATAGAACTTAAAAACTGGATTGGAATGGCTTGAGGCGGAGCACTCTAGCTTAACACCCATTCCCTACTTCCTTATACTCTTAATTGATTTTTATTCATTTATTTGCATACCCAGTCCCTGATGCCACATGAGTTTGCAGACCTGAGATGTGACACAACACCGCATAAAGCAATCTCTTCCCTCCTCAGGAAGCAGATGTTTGCAATCTTCTCTCTACAGCTTCTCTCTACATTTCTGGGGTCCTATAGGTTAGGCTTTTTCTAAAGCATGGTCTTTCACCTATTTAAAGACTACCATCAGAGTATCTCTGAGGCCTGCTTTTCCATATTAAGCACACTTCCTTCAACTGTTTCATTGGACATTGGATCCCCTCACTGTTATCAGAACATGCCCTGTCATCCTCTTAAAGAGGAGTACCTGTTTAAGGGGAAAAATATTTCAAGCATGGTCTAATCCCTTGCAATTCAAAGTGTCATCCAAAAGCCAACAGCATTAAATATCACTTCAGAGCTTGTCATAAATACAGAACCTCAAACCCCACCTGGGATCTACCGAATCAAGGTTCTCCAGGTGATCTGCACGTACAAATCACCTGAAAGAATGGACCCTCTTTACATTAGTGTAGCCTAAGAGTACATTCGTTTTTGAAGGTAATTAGGTCACATGGGCGACTCTGATTCCTGTTGTCTGAAATCCGTATTTGACCACACTTATGGCTAAGCCACATCTTCCTGTGTCCTATTAACGGTTTTATTGAAGCATTTAACAGTCTGATTACACTTCGATGAGTTATACATGTGCCTAGACTAAGATCTTAGGGGCAAAACACATCTGGTGTTTTACCCATCTGGTGCCAAGCCAAGGCTCCAATACATAATAGTTGCTTGTGTAAGAAAAAAATAAACAGTAGCTAAGATGATAAAAGAAATTGAGTCACGCTGTTAAAAACAATCTGTGACACGGATTGCTCTAGGCCTCAGTTTCAGGGACTGGGATTCTCTCACTTCTCACCTCTGTCCCCTTGGCATCAGCTCTGTACCTTAGGCAGCCCCTCCCTTGAGTGTCCTCAAAATGGCGGTCAACGTTGCTCAGAGCCATAGCCTTTCTCATTCAAGACCAGTGGGCAAAGAGTATCTGGAAACTTTAGAGGCTGGAAGGTTTGTGTTTTTTTTTTCTTTTCTCTTTTCTTTTTTAGAAACTTAGCAAATGTCCCCTCCAATTTCATTAGCTTTCATGGAGTTACCCCCTTATTTCTGAGCCGGTCCCTGAAGCCAGGAGAAATGACTATCCTCATGGGTTCAAGCCAGTGAGGATCCACTCCTAGAGCACTGAGTGGCTGGAAACAGTTGGGGAGGAGGGAGGGGTGCTCCACCAGGCAATGAGGAAAAGCTGCTGGGAGGGGTGGTGGCATGGATGCTGGGGAGACAGCGAACAGATGTCTCATGGTGCTCAGTAGGTTTGCATGTCCATTGCCTTTGAATCTTGCAGCTATTCTCCAGGAGGTCCAACAGTACAGCAATCACTAACATGGGCTATGGCCAGAAAACTTTTCTATTTTTAAATGACACACAAATTATTATGCTCCATCTCATTGTTTCAGTGATTGACTTTAAAGGGCCCTGGCTTACCTCCTCCTGGAATAATAAAGCAGTCACAGGAATTCTTTGGGCCACTCCAAAAACCACTCCAGAGCGGTTTGCCACACATAATAGAGGGTGCACTTGAAAAGCAGCATCCAATGACCAGTTCTGGCTGAAAACTTTTGTGTTTTTTGAAAGTTCAATAAGCACCAGAAGTGACCACAATGTGTTTGAAACTTTATAACATGTGTCTTCAGGAGACAAAGTGCCTAAAACTAGATGGAAAAACTTGTAATTTTTTAAATTAAAAACTGTAGACAGGAGAGGTAACAGTCAAAGTAAAATAAGCATGAATCCTACGTTTTTATTTCAAAAATAAAACCCGAGGTATGGGAAAAATTGTAATATGGAATTCAGAAATCCGCTTTGGCCATATGCTCTATTGCATGTTCGCTGTGCCTGCTCTCCTTGGCCAAAAGGCTCTCAATGATGGGTCAAGCTCAGCTGGGAAAGACATAAAACTGATGGCACCAGAGGCACAGGTTGGGGAGAGGGGCACATTATCTATCCTCACCTCAGTGATCAGAGGGGAAAATTATCATCACCGGCCTCTCTGGACTATGCTCCTGGTCTAGGTGGCCATGTGAGAAGGTGCAGGGACTGACACTGGCCAACACTCCTGCTTGAAACACTCAGGTATGGTCAGCTCCCAGGAAGGTCAGTTGTATAATCTTTACAAATGGAAGGCAGCCTAAATCGGTACCCAGACTTGTCCATCCTTTCTCAGAAATGGTGTGTGAGGATCCTGGCTCTACCTGCTTACTCAAGGAAGGAGTTGGTACAATCACTCACTCACTCCCAGCTTTGGTGTCCTCATGTGTAAAATGAGGACAATGATACACCTGTTGTAGATTGATGTGAGAAAAGAAAAAACAAACAAACAAACAAACAAAAAAACAACAAAAAAAGAAAACCAGCTCATGTGACAAGTGCCCGAAAATGCCCAGGAAAAGCAAGCCTACAAAGGGCATTCTCCCTCCTGCTCCCTGTTCAGTCCCCTTCAGTGCTCCAACTGCATCAGTACACAGCTGAAGTGCTTTGGTGTGATCACAGATCTCTCAAAATTTCTCTCTGCCTCCCCTAGAATGCCTTGTAGCACTTTTGTACAATCATATATGTGATAAGTCATACCTGTGGTAATTGGATCAAGAAAAAGATCTGAAAATCTTCCAGTTCTCACATAGATGTAAAAACAAGACAAAATGACCACAAGAGCATGGCCTCATCTGTTACTGAACATACAATCTAGGGCAAGTTTAGTTTAACAGTAGACTTAATCAGAGCTTTTAAAATAGCAACAACAGGGACACCTGGGTGGCTCAGTCGGTTAAACACCTGCCATGATCCTGAGGTCCTAGGATCTCAAGCCCCCTCCCACTGCTTGTGCTCTCTCTTTTTCAAATAAATAAAATCTTTAAAAATAATAAATAAAATAGCAACAACAAATATTTCTCTTAGACTGTAAGGTCCTTGAGAGTTGAGCTCTCTTTCATTCAAATTTATATTCTCCTGAGGAACAGAGGGAGAATATCCTCTCCCTAGGAGACTAGCCAGCATGTTAGGAGATGATAAAAGGAAAGATAAAATGAAATACTTATCACCTTGTATGCTTATCACCTTGTATGCCTTGAAAGGCATACAAGGCTGCTTAATTGCTATAAAATAAAAAACACAGAAATCACAGTTAAGAATGATTGGACTTGCTACCTGATGACTTCAAAAGTCACAATCTTTAAAATTTCTCGGACTTCAAATCACTCTTGAGAAGTGGTGACGCCTGGCCTTGATACAGAAGATTTCTTATCAGCTCTAGCTTTGATTCCATGTCCTCTGGCAAGTTCCTTTTTCTCTCCAAACTTCAGTTTCCTTGGCCACACAGGATATGAAATAACAAGGTTCCTAAGATCCCTTACAGCTGTAAAATGAGGCGTCCAAAATTTGTGCACATACTTGTGGCAAGTCTTCTGTGAGAAAGGCACCCTGCTAGGCGCTCCAGAGAGGCGTGAAACAGGACAGACCCAGACTGTTCTCAGTCGGCTCATGGCTTACTAAGTAATAAAACACAAGGACACAAATAACTGTGATTAGAGGCAGGAAGGAATAATGACCATCCAAGAGGTACTGTGCCGCATAGATGAGGACTGGCTTTGGGGAGGGACAGCATTCATTCCTGTTTTGATGGGGCAAGTATGAAGCACCCACTAGGCCAAGCACAACTGTGACCAAGATACACATAAGTGTATCTTCACTATGAAGATCTTCACAAGATCCTCATAGTGCCTAAAGGCTGTCTGGCAGAAGACAGAATTCGGAGGGGGCAGATTCCAGGCAGAGGGAGCTGTGCATTAAGACAGGAAGGCAGAGCATCATAAAGCACACAGGACTGAGTCCAGGGCTCTATCTGTGCAGACGTAGGAAGTGCACAGGAGATCAGGATGAAAAAAGGTAGAGAGGTAGGGGGCACCTCATGTGGAGTCCTGACATGTGAGGCTACGGACTTGAATTGGTCCAACAAAATAACCTACAAGTCTAAGAGACTGAAAGCTTACTAAACATGACATGATCCCTCACTTTGTATCCAAATACACTATGTTTATTGTAACTAAAAGAAAGACACCAAAGAAAATTCCCCCAAAAAAGTAACTGAAATAAGTTTATTTGCAGGAGAAGAACATCTGAACATCAGGTACAGTCTGACCCACAATGATCCAACACTAGCAGTGACTCGTCTGAGAATGCTCTTCTGCAGTTTGGAGGAGACATCAGCTGAACACTTATCAAACCTCAGAAAGCCATCTAACCTGAGTGTTACACAATACATAATGACCATGACACAGTAATAAAAATACAACAGCAAATACTCACTACTTTGTGAGCTACAATTACAATATAAACAATTTAGGCTCTTTTTTAAAAAATGAAAAAAATAGATCTATTACAGCTTTATTTCAAGCATTTTCAGTTGGATACAACTTTATATATTTTTACTCACAACAGACAGCAAAAGAATGCCTTCTGAAGTATCTATAGATAAAATATATTACTTATTTAAATGTTTGCACTCGGAAGCGCATTTGCCAGGTAGGAGTTCAGATGAGAGAATGATTTTGTGCCAAAATCCTGGCAGTTGATCAAGACTTGTATAGTTTTCATATTTGTCTAAAAAAGTTTACATTGGAGAAAAAAGAAGGGAGAACGTAAAGACAACCAACATTATTCTTTTTCAGTGAAGCAGTCTAATTCCAGAGAAAGGGCTTTCCATTTTAGATTCCAAGCTTGTCATCCCAAAGTTGAATCCTGTCCAGGCTGAGGAGCCAAGGGAGCTGGAAGGAAAGTGTTAACCGAATGCTACAGAGATGGCCACTGATAACAGAGCTTCTAGAGGCCCCAGGCCACACAGTGGGGAAGGGCCGCCAGGACCACTGGTACAAAGGTACAGTGCGCTCACTGAACTGCACACATAGAGCTCCTAGGAGGGTTAACAGTTCTTGACAGAGGTTCCTGGTTGTAGTTTACAATATCTGCCTTCACCACCCTCTGTCATAAAAGAAAACAGAGTTATTATCAGAACATCAGAACATTTAGAAAGAGCTCGTTGAAGTATATTTTTATTTTCTGAACTTTAGTGAACTCCTGATGACAGACATCATAAATGAAGCCAGAACTGATATTAAAAGAATCAATCAGGACAAACTGTTGGAGAGCTGAGATGTTGGGGAGTGAGGGACTTGGGTTTGTTTTTTGGTTTTGTTTTTTAAGGATGGAAGACCAATTCCTTTACTGAGTCTTCCCTGGTTTTATGACATTAACATGAGGTTACAACAAGTCTAAAACATAACTGACAAATCAATATGAAAAATTAAACCCTGGTTATAATTTAAAGCAAAGGAATGAGAATTAATCATTCACATATTTTAATTCATAGGCAAGACATCATAATTTCAAAGTAAAATATGTCATCATTTATCAATATTTAAATAAACCATTATACCCACCCATAACTTTTTTAGAGTATCTGCAGCAATCAGTGAGTCGGTAAGAAATGTGTAAATGTTAAATAGGAGTCACATACAAAGGAGAAATGTTTTGAGTAACCCAATTTTTAAAACGTTTCCAGTTTTTATAACTTCCTCCCAAATCCCTAATTTACTACCAAAGAGCTCACTACTGGGTTATAAATAAGGACTCTAACAAAATATAGAATGAAAAATTTAGAAAATTACCTCATATTCATGGGTTTTTTTTAATTATTTAAACCAAAAGACACTTTTAACTCTTCTTTCCATCCCTCTAACCCACACTTTAAGGAATATCTTCGATGATGAATTTAGTAATATGCCCCAAGTAATAATTTAAATTAAAACAGCTCCTTCACTATTCCCAACTCTATTACTAAATCTGTACACAGAAACAGACAAAGAAAGGTAATTCAAGGCAAATTTTAAAAATACTTTCAATTACCACGCTGTTTCAAGAAAAATGGGAAGGACTGAATAATGAAATAACCATTGCACTCTTCACTTCACTGCACATGTGATAAACACAACCATAAGGACAAATATGTTTGAAAGTAACTGAAATGTTATTTTAATTTGTTCCAATTTCTTGTTTGTCAGTCTCCTGGCAAAGAACCAATTTTTCAAAGTTCTAAAACAGGTCTTACAATTAACAATACTAACTTCCAATCATGTACAATAATCATTTGAACTTCTCTACTCATAAGGAATAAAGAGCAAGAAAGCATCTACCAGTTCCCCCTCCCACCTCCCCCCAAATGCAATCAATTTACCCCTTAATACCTGCACTACTGTACTGAACAGATTCTACTCTGAGCAGAGTTGGTATGTTGATTATCTTCTTCCGGGTACTTCACTATTTCTGCCCTGACAATATGCTGCCAATTCCGTACAACATAAACAAGATGAAGAAGAAAGCAGGGGCAGGGAAAAGAAAAGAAAGAAAAAATGGAAAGTATGTTCAATGGCCGAAAATAGAAGGGAATACCAAAGCAGAAAAAGAAACAAACACATAAATTTAAACATGTCACAGAAAAAAAAAAAAAACAATTTATGCATATAAAAGGAAAGAAAATGAATGAAGATCCATGAAACACTCCTCTTTGCAACTCTATTTAATTACTGAAGCAGGTCTACTGAGCCCCCCAAACAAAATGGGAGTTCTATTTTTGGTATCACAATGACACATTGTACCTATAACACCCAGAATTTCAGAGGACAAAAAAGAATTACAAGGCTTTTCTATACTAAAGTACAGTAACGGTATTTAATTCCATCTTCTTCAACAAATATTACTGCAGATCTCTCTATGTGCCAGTCACTCTCTACTGGGAATGCACAGGTGAATTACACAGGCTCTGTTCACTAGGTGCTCTGCACTAAATGAGAAGAGAAACATGTGCAAAGCTAGTTGCCATACAAGGTAAGAGCTTTACTAGTGGACTTATAATATGTTGTGGGAATACAGGCGGGAGGAGTAATCAATTCTCTTTGAAGGTGGGGAGCAAACACATAAATCTGGGGAAGCCATGTGCCACTTATAATATTTACACTTATTAATATCTATTGCTTGTCAAAGACTTCTTTTTGATGTTCATTGCCTCGTCCCACACAACCCTCACCTCCACACTTCCAAATTCCATATAGAAATAAACAATTTCGAAACACACTTTTCTATCATTCCAGAGGAAGTCCTGACATACAGTATTTAAGCATAATAACTACTGTTTCAAATACCTAAAGGAGTTTTGCTAAATAAAAAATCAAAATTACTTTGATAGGTTTTGGATGGCTCTAAACCTTAGGATGAAAAGAGCATGTATGACAAATATGATAGAGATAACGTGCTCCCCTCAAATTTCTTACACTTGAAATTATCCTATTTTTTATGATTTCAAATATCTTATTTCAGAAAATCTTTCTTCATATTAGTATATATTAATTAACACATATAGAAACACATGTTAATGTGGGTAGCTGTTTGTAATAATATTTATAACAAATTAGATAAACAACTGATAATAAATGAGAGGATTCTATGGTATATTAGCATTGGATGGGCTCGGCTCCAATTCTCTACCAAGCAGCATTAACTTCTGGATAAGACTCATGATTTACTAGGCATTCAGCCTGATGCTATCAACAGAAGCATTACCAACTGCCACATGAGATATTAACGTTGAACACCATTATCTGACCTCCCCAAACCTAACTGTTTCATGACAAACTATGGGTTACAATAAAGAAAAGGGATTTTCATAATCAGTAAGCACTCATTAATCCTCCACAATGTCGGTTTAAACCCTATCCTATAAACACAACCAGGTTACTGACCTGTGGTCAAGACATTTTGGTTGAAGTACTGACTAACATAAATGACTTGGATTTTCACCATTAATTTTCATCAAATTAATGAAGAACTAACAAGGCAACATCTTTCTTGGAGGCCTTGGCTGTCTGACATAAAGCTTTGTACAAAGTTTCTGAACTGGAAGTTAGACTAAGGCTCTACTGATTCAAAACTTTGCTTTCTATGAGGAGAAAAACATAATTTCCATGCCATAAACTTCAGAGTTGGTGGTTTCATGGTCGTCAGCTTGTTTACAAGCCATTCATTGATGTTTTCAGAGAAAATGTTACCTACAAAACACCAACTTTTACTTGTGGAGCCACAAAGTACACTCTGCTATTATTCTCTGATATTAGTTAATGGAGTAAAAATAAAGAAATGGCCCTAAGAGGAAAGAAGCTGTGTGGCTGAACACCGGCTTAACCCTTACTTTGTCAGAGTATTTACTTGTGAGTGGATATTAGAAATGGAAACAGCAGCTATGGAGAGGGTAAGCAAGAAAGCAACCCAGGCGCTGGGCAGGAAGGTGTAAAGAGTAGAGATGGACTCTTGCAAGGACACTAAAGATCAATTTGCCAATTCTGCAATGGTGTCTTAATCCAGATAGTAGTAACACATTTGCCATCGCAAAAGTTGTAGTTTGTCATGTTCAGGATATGGAGTAAACATACCTTGAAGGCTTAAAACACTTGTCACTACTGCTCATTCAAAGTTAATCACTATTCTAGATATTGAAGACGTTCAGATAAATAATACATAATCTCTCTTTCCGAGATGTGTAAGAGTCTAGCATGGAATACAGAGATGTAAACTATTAAAGAGTATTATGATTGATACATATTCAAAGTGCAACAAAATTATAGATTACCACTTAAATATGGTTATAGCATTTTTAAAAAAATATTTTATTTATTTATCAGAGAGAGAGAGAGAGAGACTGCACAAGCAGGGTGAGTGGCAGGCAGAGGGAGAAGCAGGTTCCCCACTGGGCAAGGAGCCCAATGCAGGACTCGATCCCAGGATTCTGAGATCATGACCTGACCTGAAGGCAGACATTCAACCAACTGAGCCACCCAGGCATCCTGGTTATAGCATTTTTTAAAGCATGGAACTTTGTACACAGTAGGAACTTAAAGGAAACTACTTTTCTTTTTCTTCCATATAATGTGCTCTTAGATGCTTCCAGGAACTTTCATCACTTAGGGTATAAGTTACTTTACCATTTTGGTGTTCACAACCTCCTGACCTAAAAACACAAGGTTTATTTACGTGGTCTCTAAAGTCCCACCTATACATCTTGAAACTACATGAAAAAATCACTTTGAAGGTGAGGAGGAAAAGAAAAATATGGGATGATAAGGAAATCCATTAAGCAATGTTCAGTATTAAGGATCAGAATAGTATGTACAAAACGAGTAAATATGTTCTGCAAGGAAGACAAGTGATGTTTAAGATAAGAAAAGAATCTCACTGCAGTTTTTGTAAACAGATTGGAAAAAATGATAAAGATTAACATCTAGGCAAGAAGAATCTAAGTTCCTTGTATCTCCTTAAGGAAGATCAATATTCAGATAAAGCTAAAGAGAGGGACGCTAGGATAAGGGGTTAAATGGGCACTTCAGTTGTACAGTTATGTGGATGCACTACCATGCTAGATGCGTTCATATGTAGTACGTTTATATATATACATACGTGTATACATATATATATATGCGCATTTTTTTAGCAAGTTTACTATCTCAGACATAAGAGGAAAAAAAATTTTTTTTTTTTGAGAAACTAATGCTTACCAAGTTCAAACCAAACAGAAATTCATAGTTTATTAACTGGAAAGTGAAAATGTCCAGGCTTAAAAATGTATTAAGGACTCTTGGGATGCCTGGGTGGCTCAGTCGGTTAAGCACCAGCCTGCCTTTGGCTCAGGTCATGATCCCAGGGTCCTAGGATTGAGTCCCACATCAAGCTCCTTGTTCAGCAGGGAGCCTGCTTCTCCCTCTGCCTGCCATTCTCCCTGAAAAGTTGAACGCTACACCTTTGAGAGAATACCAACTGGAAATTCACTTTTTCCCTAAAGGTTTGACTACTTTGTAAATAAACAAACAAAAAAACATGAACAATATAGGAAATAAGGACATTTGTTAACAACTAGTCCTGGCTTTTACACTATCTTAGAAGAGAATACTTGGGAAAAAAAGAGTACAGATAAATGATACAAATGCAACTATTGCTTAAATCGGGAACTGGGGACAAGGCATCTAGTGTACATAAGTGTTTAAATAGCTGTCTGCCCCAACTTGTTCTGGGAGCTCCATGAGGACAAGGACTTCCATATATTCCTCTCTGGATCCACAGATTCTACTGCGGCCCCTGGTACGAAGTAGACAAGCAAAGAACGTCTGCTGTATTAATGAACTGTGTTCCCTTTCCTTCCTCCCTTTTCCCCTTCCTCTTCCTTACAAAGCTTGCAAAATATGCTGGTAACTCATGTTATAGAACTCCCTAAGAGGGACAAACTATGTTAGAAGAACTAAAATAGCGGAATCTTTTAAAAAAATCACTAAATGGAACCAAGACCATAACCTGATTATAAAAGTTTTTTGGTTTTTTTTTTTTAGATCACTCATACTTTTTTTTTAAAAGATTTTATTTATTTATTTGATAGACAGAGATCACAAATAGGCAGAGAGGCAGGCAGAGAGAGAGAGAGAGAAGCAGGCTCCCCGCTAAGCAGAGAGCCCAATATGGGGCTCAATCCCAGAACCCTGAGATCACAACCCAAGCTGAAGGCAGTGGTTTAACCCACTGAGCCACCCAGGCGCCCCTATAACCTGATTATAAATACCTATGTCACAAACTGAATTACTATAGCATCAGTTTCCATGTGTCTGGTGAGTCTACCAACTAGCTCCTTCTCCAGAAAATAAAACACTTCAAAACAAAACACTTCAAATGTTACACCAAATTCCTTCAGGAATCATTCAAAAAACACAGAAAACAAGTGTGCATTCTCCTTCCCTCTTTGTCTTGCCTCTCTGCCCCACTTCTTTTTCTCAACCCCTCTTTCACTTACCAGTTAGAACGGCCAACATCAAGAATAAAGAGATAAATGTTGGGGAGAATGTGAAGAAAAGCAAACACTTTTGCACCACTGGTGGGAACGTACACTGGTGCAGCCACTATGGAAAACTGTGGCGGTTCCCCCACAAATTAATAACAAAACTACCATATGATCTTGCAATTCTACTTCCAGGTATTTAGCCAAAGAAAATAAAAACACTAACTTGAAGATATATGCACTCCCATGTTCACTGCAACACTATTTACAACAGCCCAAGATATACAAACAACCTAAGCGTCCAACAATAGATGGAAGAATAAAAAAAGGTCTAGTACATATATGGAGTGAGTACCTGGGTGGCTCAGTCTGTTGAGCGTCCGAGTCCTACTTTCAGCTCAAGCTGTGATCTCATAGGTCGTGATCTAATGCATCATGGGATCGAACCCCATGCCAGGGTCTGCACTCAGCATGAAGCCTGCATAAGACTCCCTCTCCCTCTCCTTCCAACCTTCTCCCCACATGAGCATACATGTACTCTCTCTCTAGAATGAATACATAAATCTTCTTAAAAATATAGTACATATATATATATATATATATATATATAATGGAGTGTTACTCAGCCATGAGAGAGGAAGACATTCTGTCATTTGTGACAACATAGGTGGACCTTGAGCATGTTATACTAAGTGACAGATGTCAGATAAAGACAAGCACTGTGTGATATCACTTATATGTGGAATTTTAAAAGGCCAAACTTATAAAACAGAATAAAATGGTAGTTGCCAGAGATGAGGGCTGGGGAGGATGACGAAATGTTGTTTAAGGGTACAAATCTAAAACAAATAGTAAATAAACCCTAGAGATACAATACACAGTAGAGTGAAAATAAACAACAATATTGTATTATAATCATCAAATGTGTTAAGAAACTAGAACTTATTCAAACTGCTAAAGAGAAAAGATAACTATGTAATGTGATAGAGGTGTTAATTATCACTACAATGACAATCATATTACAATATATAAATGTATCAAATTAACATGCCGTATACCTTAAGTTTATCCAATGTGATATGCCAAATAGATTTCAATTAAAAAAAGAAATAACTGTGCTCAACATGACTTGCTGGGTTAGACGTAGGTCCTTAGAAACCTCTTTTTAAAATCTGAACTTTCGAAAATGTTTCCACAGGGAAATGCTGTCAATTGTAAAATCAATAATTTAACTGGCAAAAGCACCAAATTAATCAGATTCAGAAAAGAAGAACGAGGCTTCTCTACACAAAGGATTCTGGCAAACATAACAAAAGAGGGTTCTAGTAAGGTGAACTCATCTTCAGATGAATGGATTCAAACTAAACCACACTGACAAACCGAAGACTGAAATAGCGTCATTGCCTAATAAACAAGATGAGGTGCACTAAAAAGGTAAGATATACAGGAAGGGTAGAGAGCTATGCAATTAACACATCTGAATAAGTGCTGAAATAAATGTCTTTTGAAAAATGATAAAAAGAGATTTCCAGAGTTTCAAATATTGTTATCAAGTCCTAGAAACAGTCACATCAGCATAAAAATTTTCAATTGGTATTTGCTCTGTTTTAAAACAGACACACACACACACACACACACACACACACACAGAGTTAACCATGAAAATAAGACACAGAACACTGAGAAAATTAAAATATAAGGATGGGAAAAGACAATTATACCTTTTTAGCTAAATGGGATGGGCACAGAGTAGACGGGATTGAGGGAAAATGTAATTTATCTGTTGCTTCTCAGCAAACCAAAAACTTACCTTTAAACTTTAGGTTCTTACTCTGATTTTTCATTCTATCAAACATATGAATTTGTGTACTATTATGGTGGTATTTTTAAATGCTTATTAATATTCATATTTATTTATTAGTGTAAGGACTGCCTTTATAATTAATACCATTATTAAATTATGTATTAAATTAACAATAAAATAACATCAAGAATTAGTCTTATTACAAGAGGGGATGTTTTAGAGAGGAACAGAGAACACAGACTCAAAGAAAAAATAATATTTTACCAAAGTGAACATGGAGGATGCCCAACAGAGTAAACTCTAAGACTAAACTTAAATAAACTGTTGGGACTTTGTATGAAATATAAAAAGAATATTGTAGTATAGTAATCCTGGAAGAACTTAAATAAAGAAGTACAAAACAATATGGTCAGCATCTTAACCCATTATTTAACTACTGATGAAATGTGCATTATATTAATCTCAATTTTAGGACAAAATGAAGTTTCAAGGGTATCATAATTGAACAAAAAGTTAACATCTTCCATCTTCTACACTAAACACTGATTCATTCACACACACAATTTATTCCTAGGGCTTTTAGGGATATGTACAGAGAGTGCATAAATGTTAAAGGAGTCAGTGGTGAAATTAATGTCTTTTAGGAAATAAATTGTTTTTTAAAAATAAAAGTTCAATAAAATCACCTGTGACTGTTCTATTTCTGCTTTGTTTAATTTGATTCCAAGGATTTCAGCAGCAACTTTCTGAAAACACAGGAAGACCTACATAACAAAAATAGGTTTAAATGATTTAAAACAGGCATGCTTAAGTTAATGTCAAATAAACTGAACTTTCCAAAAAATGATAAACATCAAGAATTGTGAAAATATGATGTACCAGGTTATTCAAAAAATAGCTCTGTCAAATACAATAACATTTTAAGTATAATAATTTTAAAATGATTAAATCACAATTTGAAAATCATGCAATTCACTAGATTGGTCTAAACATAAAGATATTTATCCCTAAAAATTTACATTTAAAAAATTTTATTTTATTTTAGATTTTATTTATTTGAGAGAGAGATCACGAGCAGGAAGAGGGTTAGAGGGAGAAGCAAATTCCCCACTAAGCCCGACAACACAGGGCTGGATCCCGGGACCCAGGGATCATGACCTGAGCCAAAGACAGCTGCTTAACCAACTCAGGTGCCACCTCAGGCACCCCTACATTTAAAAAATTTTAACATAAGAATTAATTACAGATACCACATTAAAAAAAAAAAAAGACTACTAGCATAGCAAACTCCTAAAAGTCCAGGGGAAAATAAATTAGTCTGTACTTTAGTACCAAGGTTTTTCACGGCCAATTCTATATTGGTCTTTTGCTCTGGCTTTAGCCTATCTTAAAAGTTCTTAACTTCTAACCCTTTAATAATCTTTGTGGCTTTCATCAATTTCAATGAATGATCCATATCTCTTGAGCAAAACAACTTAGTAATCTTTATTTTATTGGTTCAGAGTAAAGGAATAGTATACTGTGTTATCCTTAAACAGAAATCAAAAGTACTTTTCTATAAACAGCCTTTCATAAATACTTTGCTTATGCTGAGCTCACTAGAATTCCCAGGACTCCAACCCAGACACTGACTGTAATGTTATACTTGTCTTTGTTTCATAAGTGTCTTTTCATATTCTTACCCCTACTTATCTCATGCTTATTGAATATTTATTGCAACTAATTTTGATTTCTAAAATAAAAGATACATACCTCCAAAAGGCTTATGCCATTTACATCCTAAAAGGGATTTTATATGATAGTTCACTCATGGTCAACATTCAAGAAAAATGAGAAAGCTAGCACGTTGGAATGGAGAGAAAGTGGGGGATTATGAAGGAAAATAAGCAAAGAGATTAACGGAGTACACATATCACATAAGATCTGGTAGGCTATGGAAGTACTTTGACTTTTACTCTGAGTTAAATGGAAGCCCTGGGAAGGTGGCTTGATGTGACTTCTATTTTAATAGGGTCAATCTGATTCTGATATTGAATATTCTCACTACAGAAGATAAAGGGTACAAAAAGAGAAGCCAGCAAGGACGCTAATGTAAGAGATGGAGGCTTGAACCAAAGTGGTAGCAGTAGAGAGGATTAGAAAGAGTCACCAGATTCTGGATATATCATGAAAGAAGAACCAACAGGACTTAGCAATAGACAAATGTGGGGTATGAAAGAAAGAGAGAAGTCAAGAAGGATTCTAAAATTTTCTCCACCTTAGCAATTAGCAGAAGATCTGCCATTTATTGAACTGGGGAAGACTATGGGAGATTTCAGGAGAGACTATCAAGAGTTCAGTTCTGAACCTGGATAAGACTAGGGCTGCTTATTAGCATGTAAGTGGAGGTGCTGGGCAGGCTGGAGTTCAGGGAAGAGGTCTGGTCAAAGCCCTGAGGCTAAATGAGGTCACTGGGGAGTAAGTTTAGAGAAAGGTACCAAGGACTGAGCCCTAAGGCACTCCAATATTCAGAAGATGGAGTGAGAGGGAATCAGCAAAAGGAAATGAGAGAGTAGCTAGTGAGGTAAGAGTAAACCAGGGGGTGTAGTATCCTGGAAGGTAAGTGAGGACAGTATTTCAAAGAAGAAAGAGTGACTGACTATTTTATATGCTTCAACTAAGTAAGATGAGGACTAAGAACTGACCACTGCATTTAGCAAAAATGAGGTCGTTGGTGATTATAATAACAGTAGTATGGGTGAAATACTGGGTGAAAAAGTCCAGGTGAAACTATTCAAGAGAAACTAGAAAGAGAAAACTGGAGACAACTCTTTCAAAACACATTCCACTGGAACTAGGGGAAAGAAAGAAGGCAACAACTAGAGAAAATTGTGGGATTTCTTGTTTTTAAAATTAGGTAAGTCATAGCATTTTCTGTGATGATAGAATAATCCAGTAGACAGAAAAAAAAAAAAGTGATGATACAGGATGGAGAGAGAATTGCTGAGCAATCAATGTCCATTCCTAGGCCAAGAGAAATGGGACTAATGCACAATGGAGGAGTGGGCCCTAACCAGGAGCATGGACGGTTTGTCCTTCAGTAACCAGACAGAAGACAGAAGATATGGGAACAGAGACAGGGAGCAAGGAGAATGGGAGTAAATGTGGTGGCAAGACTATGCAGTTTTCTTCTGTTGACTTCAGACTTCTATAGAATGGAAAACAAGGTCATCAGCTCAGAGAATGGATGAGGAAATGTTGAAGATCTGAAGAGAGAAGAGAAGTTATGAAAACAGTCATCAAGGTGAGAGGGAGTGATGATGGCCTATGGACATGGGGTATAATCACTGAGCAGCATTAAGACCCCCCTTCAGGCTAGTGATTGTGAATTTTAAGTGAAACCTCCAGCATACCTCTGTTTCTCTCTGATCATGTTCAAATACCTGGGTGCTGCCACAAAACAGCAGGAGCTTGGTTTAAACCAGAGTTAAGGTTTAGACAAGTGAATCTGAGAAAGTCAAAGTGAGGAAAGGGAATTGAGGGTATACATATGGCAATGATTTTTTTTTTTAAGATTTTATTTATTTACTTGACAGAGAGAGAGAGATTACAAGTAGGCAGAGAGGCAGGCAGAGAGAGAGGGGGAAGCAGGCTCCCTGCTGAGCAGAGAGCCCGATGCAGGGCTCGATCCCTGGATCCTGAGATCATGACCTGAGCTGAAGGCAGAGGCTTAACCCACTAAGCCACCAAGGTGCCCCTACATATGGCAATGATTTTGATTGGCCAAGAGATTTAAGTTAGGAAAACAGGAAAATGAGGACATGAAAGGAGGCTGGGGACATTAAAAAGATGTTAAGATCTGCATCTAGCAGGTCCTGCCAGGACTGCAGATTGTCTGGACTAGGGCATTCAGGGGTATGAGCTGGAAAGACAGGAGGGTGGTCAGTGATTAGGATGTCTGACATTGAGATGTTGTGATCTGTAATGTCAAAGCCTGGGAGTGAGTGGCTGAGGAGGGGTGGAGGACAAACAAAGATACTGGAATCACTTTAAGAATTACAATAAAGGTAGTATCAGAGAAAGTACAATCAGGAGCTCAACCCCCCAGGTGATGAGGAAAATAAGCTGAAGATGGAGATGACTAAAGTCTCAGTGATTCCACAAGAATAAACCATTTCAAAGTTGCATTTCAAAGGAAAATAACAAGAATTTTTAAGAATGGCTCAACATAAGTACACAAAAAATATGGAGTGGTTAAACACAAGCGAAATTATTGGAAGCTGAAATAATTCTAGGGGCACTTAGGTAGCTCAGTGGGTTAAGCTTCCGACCCTTGATTTCAGCTCAGGTCATGATCTCAGGATTGTGAGACAGAGCCCCGCATTAGGCTCCACACTGGGCATGGAGCCTGCTTAAGATTCTCCCTCTCCCTCTACCCCTTCCTGCCCACTCACATGTTCACTCACTCTCTCCCTCTTAAAAATAATAATAAATATTAAATAAAATAAAATAATTCAAAAATGACAGAAGATCCCTAGGAAGATAAGTGAGGGTAGAAGCCCAATCCATGTATTTATCAAGGAATACTGATTTTATACATTTTTGAATGGCATGTGTGGGTATGTGCCCATGTTTTTATTATCTTGGAGGAAAGTTCTGAAAATAATCAGAAAATAAATAGGTAATGAAATTTTTAAAAGTTCAACCTTGATAGCAATCAAAGAAATTCAAGCACCAAGGTACCTTTCTTTTTTTCTTTTTTTCTTTTTCTTTTTTTTTTTGGCCTACCAAAATAACATAGATTTAAGAGTAAACAAAAAAATCCTGGATGTTTAAAAAACACCACAGTGAAATGGCACTAATACAATGTTGGCAGTAGGATGGATTATTAAATGTACTTAAATCTAATGGATTATTAAATCTCTTTAATTGTATCAAATGACATGGTCAAATTTTCTGCTCACAAATATATTAAATAAAAAATTAAAACACCAAGTTATTTCTATATTTATGATCTTAATTTTTTAAATAAGTTTTTAGTGCAGTTAATAACCCTGGACCATCACTACTCAGGTTTACAAATCCTATCCCCACCACTCAGCTGTGTACGCTGGACCCCCCGACATAAACTGTCTAGGACTCCTCTATAGCACAGACATAATAGGAGAAGCACAGCGCAAGTCACAAAGCAGCATTCAGTGAATGCGACTCACTAGCAGTGACAGCAACAGCACGAGCATTTGTGAGCATCAGAAAACTGTAAGGAACCATATGAGGTTGTGAATGGTAATCTCCAGATGCTGAGATAGTGGGTGACTTCTACCTTCTTTCTTTCTTTGTTTTTTTTTTTTTTTGATACATGTTCTTTTTCTCTCATACTTTTAAATTCCATAAAATAATCATAAACTTAGGTTAAATGAATTATAAATGTAATATAAACAGAATAAACATTTTATCTATTTTATGTCTTCAATAGGAATTAATTTATTCCAAAAGTTAAGCCTAGGAAGTGTACTTCCTGTGAATACTATTACTAAACAAAAGATCGCTCATAATATTCAATATTCATTATTTTACTTACAGAGTCTCCTGTCTTTGCTGAGACAAAGTGGCTACTAAAACCATTTTCCTGGCAAAACCGTAAGTGTTTTTCAGGTTTTACGGTTCGCATATGTTCCAAATCAACTAGAAAAGTGAACAAAAACAGAGAATAAAACTCAGTATCAGAGTCAAATAATACATTAACATGTTTAAACTTGACTTACTTTCCAAAATTATTTCCCAGCTTAGACACTAGCTGTGTCACTGTGAGCAATTTCTTTAACCGTTTTACGCTTGAGTCTATAAAGCTAAAAACTGAGACTAACCATGTATATATACACATGTAATATATATTACGTGTGTGTGTGTATATATATAATATATATATATATTGTGTGTGTGTGTGTATATACACAGACACACACACCCCTACCATATGTAGAGTTATTTGAGAGTGAAGGCATAGATGATGCACAATGACCAGCACATGAAAAGTGCTTGAAAAATGAAAGCTATCATTCTTATTACCTACAGCTTCAGGCACATTGATGAGACCCCAAAAAAGATCTACTTAGCATAACATGTTTAAACATAATGATTATGGTTGACACTTGAACATCGTGGGTTTGAACTTAGATGTGGATTTTTACGGTACAGTACTGTAAAAGTATTTTCTCTTCCTTGTGATTTTCTTAATAGCATTCTTTTCTCTGCCTTATTTTATTGTAAGAATATAGTATATAATACACATAGCAAACAAAACATGTGTTAATTGACTGTTTATGCTATCAGTAAATCTTCCAGGCAATAGTAGGCTGTTTGTGGTTATGTTTCAGGGAGCCAAAGTTACACATGGATTTAACTATGCAGGGAATTGGCACCCCAAACCCCCATGTTGTTCAAGGGTCAACTGTAACTGAAAGATGCACTTACCCAAGCATATTTAGTTTGAAACAATTTAATTGCTTTAATAATTACAATAGTTCTGCAATCTCTATAAACTTTAATGTTAACACAAATACAGAATTAATTTTATGCCAAAAGGTAGCAATATTTTGTTGCATGCTTACTTTATTTGAAACCATGGCTTAATTTCACAAAGATACATCTCAGTTGCTTTCCAAACCTAAAGTATACATTTTGAAAGCACTCAGTAAGGGAATATTTCCTTGAATAGGTATAAGTGCTTTAAAGCAAAGCACGGTACTCATGGCCAATACCGGTTCTATCCAGCACAGTCTATTTTTTCAAATATGATCCTTTATTGGACAGTTTCTCTTTTACAACACTACAGACCCTATAAGGGTGTTGACTCAATGCCGTCAAATTATAAGGCAAATATATTTGCAGGATTTAAGGACAACTAGGCTCTTTGAGGCAATATAGGAAAAAAAAACTTGAACTGATTTCCTGAGGAAGGGACCCAACTGACTTGTAAAAACTTGCAAATTTGTAAATCTACTAAACCTACATAATAGTGGCAATTGATTATCAACTAAAAAATGTTCTCATACTACATAAAAGGCTTAATTTAAAATTATATTGAAGGTCTTTAGTTTGCAGGCTCAAGAGATCTTTCTCTTGGAGATTTGTGATCTAGTAGGGGATTTCTGAGTCTCATTTATATTGCTTAGCTTGGATAATATGGAGCTTTTTTCTTTTCTGGCCACAAGCTGCTGTTCCTTAAACATCACTGAGACCTTATTTACAAGAACAAGCCAAAAAATATCCAGATACCATAGGCATCAATTTGTAGAAGACTAAAATAAAATACTAAGCTATTAGCACTGACATTTATACATCTAGTTTATCATAATATTGAGGCTAAAATGCTTTCCTAATTCAACATGAGTAAGAACAAGTCATGTCACTAAGAAAATTAACCAATGAAATCACTGTCCAATTAAAAATAAAAACAAACATATAGTTTGTCATTTGATATATGTGTGTATTCATCTTTTTGAATGGAATAGTCTATCATTGTTCCATTTTTTCTTTCTTGTTTTTCCTCTTTCCTCCTGCCCACCAACAACCTAACTACCACATTCACTTATCTATAGCACTGGGGAATTTATTACCCAAGCAAAAGGTTTTCTCTAATAAAGATAACCATGATGGGGCACCTGGGTGGCTCAGTCAGCTGAGCGTCCAACTCTTGGTTTCAGCTCAGGTCATAATCTTAGGATCATGAGATCAAGCCCCAAGGCATGCTCCGAGCTCAGCAGGGAGTCTGCTTGAGATATTCTCCCTCTCCCTCTGCCAGTTCACACTCTATCTCTCTAAAATAAATAAATAAATCTTAAAATTTAAAAAAAAAAAGATACCCATGAGAAACTAGTACTATCACTGATCAATTGAAAACAACAACAACATTTATCCATCAAACACTTATTAAGTACCTATTATATACCAACAACTAGGTTAGGCAGTAAGAACCCAAAGATGGAAAAGATACAATCCTGGTCCTAAAAAAGCCACCATCTATACTTTAGGAGCATAAAAGATCATCAGCAATTGGAACAGTTATAATTGAGAGTCTGACAAAGGAGACAGCAGATAGAGAATAGGCCCTCCCAGAACTTCACCACAAAGTTTTCCTCTGCTCTGTTAAAATTTAGTGGGCAATGTTTAAGAGGACTCAGTTACTAGAATTCTTAATTCTAAATGATCCAGAAGTGTATATTCTGAAGATAAAGTTATAGTGAGACACTGGAAAATCTTTCCTTTCTTCACTTTTAAGATCATCCTTAAAATTAGTATCCAGTGACAATACATACATGTGGTAACACTCTTATATATGTGATAACATTCTATCATATATGTGATAACACTCACTGCTTTAATTGCCTTTATGTCCTTCAGTGAACCACAGCATCTTTCTAGTTCTCATATTTTGTTTTTGAAAATGTAATAAAAATTTCCTAATAATTGTAATACATATTCATTACCCAAATATTCAGAAAAACTATGAAAATTAAATGTAAAATGCCATTAACTAGAGACAACTACTGATAACACTTTTGTGCATATCCTGCCAATATCAAAGCAACTGAAGGACAGAGGCATTAATGGTGCACATACATGCAATTTCTTCTACCTCAAGCATACTACAACTCTGCTTAAACATGTGCTTAATAATTTCAAAGGATAACTACTTTATAGACCATTCATTCACTTGGTTAGCAAATACTTGAGGGCCTATTTGGCCAGGCCCTGTCCCGGGTGCTACAGATACAAGTAGCTTACAGTTTGATAAAGGCAACAGACTCACAGGAAAAATACATAATCAGAGAAAACTGTAAGTGCAAAGACCCTAAAGGAAGATTACACTTAGTAGTAAGAGAAAAACAGGAGGCCAGCAGGGTGGCTGAAATGAGTTAGCAAAAAAAGGGAAACCGTGGAAACGAGGTTTAAAAAGCCAGGAACCAGATCACACAGGGTGCATGGGCCACTGTAAAAGAGATGGGAAGTTACTGGGGGATTGTGAAGAAAACAAAACAAAACAAACAAACAAAAAAATGTAATCTGGCATTTTAAAAGGTTAATTTGGGTTGCTTTGCTGAGAATAAACTACAGAGAGTCAAATGTAAAGCAGAGAAGCCACTGAGGAAGCTACTGTAAAAATCTTAAGGAAAAAAAATCAGGGAAGAAAGCAGAGCCAAAAGAAACTGGGTTGCAGATGGTGCGGTTCACTGAAGGACATAAAGGAAATTAAATCAAAGCAGTGAGTGTTTTCACATATATGATAGAATGTTATCACATATATGAGAGTGTTACCATATGTATGTATTGTCGCTGGATAATAATTTCCAGGATGATCTTAAAAGTGGAAGAAAGGAAGGATTTTACCCGTGTAAAATATAAAAAATATATAAAAAATAGGCCGTTAAGTATTTGTTAGCCAAACGAATGAATGATCTATAAAGTAGTTATCTTTTGAAATTATTAAGCACATGTTTAAGCAGAGTTGTAGTATGCTTGAGGTAAGAAATTGCATGTATGTGCAACAGAATGTCTCTGTCCTTCAGTTGCTTTGATATTGGCAGGATATGCACAAAAGTGTTAGCAGTAGTTGTCTCTAGTTAATGGCATTTTTTGAGTCCCTGGATCACACCACAGCTGAAGATAAAATAGTTATTGAGTTTTTCAGTTATGTGAGGCTATAAAATTCCCTCCATTTTTAAGAAAAAAAATCTAAAATCTATGAAAAAGATGATGATAGTTTGGACAATATTTTACTTAGTAGCAGTAGAGATCTAAAAAGTAGGGCAGATCCTCAATAGATTTTTGGAATAAAAAGTAAATACGAAATGCTAACGGATTTGACATGGGATGAGAGGAATTGAGAGAAATCACTTAAAGACAGTTAACCTGGATTTAAAAGGAGACACAGTATGTTACAGGTTTTGTTCTAACTACACTCAGCTGCATCAGTAGAGGTGTTGAGTAGATCAATGCTTGCATTCAAGCGGAGAAATTACTTAAGTAATTAAGCAGAGAAACTGTACCATGTACAACACTGAGAAAAAGGGCAGGTAACTTGAAGATAGTAAACACAAGGAAGTGATTATACTGATGGAGCATGAAATCTAAGTTGAGTAAGAAAGGGTTCAGGAAATTGAAAATTGTTAAGATATAACTGGTAACTGATGTTAAAGTTTTGTGTGAGTCTAAAAATTGCTGGAGTTGAGTTACAAAAGCAGCTGAGCTGTAAAGACAGGAGATAATGGATAGTCTGGGATACATGAAATTAATATCGATATTACAGAGAGGGTGCAGAAACTGATACGAACTAGGTCTTAAGTATGTTAGTGTAGGTCAGGAACAAGATGACTAGAGGTAAAGGACTCAAGAAACGTGAGAGAGCAAGGACACTGTGTGTGGGCACTGGAGTTACCAGGAATGGTGACAGCAACAGTAATGGAGTGACTGTGACCCAGGAGAAATCTCTGAGAAATTCACAGAGTTCAGGCAGGGGTTGGCTGATAAGCCAACAAATAAAAGTAGCTAGATGGACGGAGGTATAATCATTTGGCTCAAATGATTATTCAAATCTAAGGGTTTTTAGGGAAAACAAGGAGAATGGTCTGGAAAGAGAAACATGGAACAAGGTCACCTATCCCACCTTCAGGCCTGACTGATAA